AATTACTGAAATAAATGAACTTTTCCACGACATTCTAATTTATTGAGATGCACCTGTATAAAAACAAACTTGACGGGAAAATTTGCGCACCTGCACTCAAACTCTGACCCATGCGTACGGACTTTTTTTTCCTGGAGAGAGAAAAGTTGTAAAGAATTGTTCAGCTCTTAGGTGCTAATTAATACCCGGTGGCAACCACCAAAAATTGTCCGATCAGAACAATTAACTTATGCGTTTCAATTGGGTAGGAATGAGGTGCTAGTCCAAGCTCCTCAGCTGTGAAGGCTCTTTTGATTGCAAAGTTGCGATCTGGTTGTGTAGCGGGATTCACTGAGAATGATACTGTGGAGCCATGGATAATGCGGCTGTCTTGGCGCACTGTGCGAAGAGACAGGTCTTCGGGCTTACCGTGGAGGTTGAGTAGCTGAGCTGCCTCATGGAGAAGTATTGTGCGCTTTGAACCATCATCTAACAGTGCATATGTATCCAGTGTAAAGTCTCCGCTGCGTATGATGACTCTGCACAATTTCAGTAACACTCTACTGCTGCCAGATGGTCGATCGACATACAGAGTTTCTATTGTGGTGCTGGTAGACTGGGTGATCTCTCCTATTTCTTTGGTAGCATTAGCACTCATTTCATTGTTGGCCTCATGCAGAATTTCTAGATGTCTCCTTTGACACTTCTTGCATTTCGCCTTAAGAGTACACTGACCTGCTTGGTGATCACGCCCACATTTCCAGCATCTCTGATTGGATCTGATCCAGGTAACAATCTGCTCTTTGGTCAGCAGCTTGAAGTTTGAACACTGATTGAGATAGTGCTGAGTTGTATTACAGAAGGGACAGTATTTATTTGATTTCTCTACTGATCTCACCTCAGAAACTGTATTCCGGCAAACCGATTCAGCCTTGGAAACTGGACTTTGCTCACTTCCATGGAAGATGGCAGTAGATTTGTGTGATCCTTTAGGCACTCTTTGCTGGTCTTTGCGGAAGCTCAGTCTCTCTCTACCAGGGTCAATACCGAACTGGGTACCGTCCTCTTGCACCCTCACCTCATACTCCAACCATTCTGCAAATTCAAGCAAGGTAGGGATAGGTGTCTTGAGTGGATTGACATACCTCTTAAAGTTCGCACACATGCGATTACTCAATATTGCGGGAGAACTGGCATTATCATCACCGTTAGGATCGTCTCGCGCTAGTAATAATAATGGCGATACTAACTGTCCTGAACTGCGTCAGCATCCGGGTCCTTTGCACCTTCTGGGTCCTAACAATAGGCGTGTGACTGTCGCCTGACTAAATAACAACAACGAATTAACCATTACACATATACAAAGAACTGTATGAACATTAAATATCTGGCCCTCAGTTTAGTACAAAAGTAATGAAGTAAACAATTATTTTAAACTCTGTTTTCATGTCGATATACACATTTACATGAAATATTCCACTCTCATTAATGGAGAAATTACATAACTGAAATGACAAAGTCATTACACAGAAGTTAAACCAAAATTATATAAATTTAGACATAGCCTAGTGGATGCGCTTGATCACTTTTCCTGTTGTTTTAATGACAGCGAGGAGTGCTATGCTTACAATAATTCATCTTGAAATTAAACTGCAGATCACGTTATGAGAAAATATTTTTAGTGAGAACAATGATCAGTTATGCACACTTACTTCGATATTATGGCAAACACTGCTGGATTTGGTGGTCGAAACGGTCCATCGTCCGGTTTGAATAGGTCCAGTGATAATAGCTTACTATACAACCGCAGCTGCACGTGTTGATGTCGTGTGAAGGCATCTCCACAACATTATGAAAAATACCACTGTATTTGAAGGATACAACTTGAAGAAAACGGTAAGATTTGCACATTTCCTTTTTAAAATACTTTGTCAATGACGCGCGAGTCAGACAATTGTATTTAAATAATAATAACTTATGCATTTAGCAGACGCTTTTATCCAAAGCGACTTACAGTGCACTCAGGTTATACATCTTTTACCAGTATGTATTTACCTTGGGAATTGAACCCACGATCTTTTGCGCTGCTAACGCAATGCTCTACCACTGAGCCACAGGAACGCTATTCGCTAACAGTATTAGTATTTCACTAACAGTATTGACATCTGTTTCCACTAAAATAGCTAAAAGATGTTACCCTTATCAGCAAAACTGCATACATTTAATTTGATTTAGATTGTTTAAAACAATTTAAATACTATTTGGTCCGTGGAAAAGAATGAGCTCAACTCTATTCTAAAATATTTATCTGAGAACTATTTTAAACAGTTTTGTTTTTATGGATATTTTGATATATTTATTCTAAAACATAACAAGGATACTGGATTATTTTTAGGAATAAAAATTGTGTATGGCACAAATGGCATTTATAGTCCGTATCTCATATTCCCTTAATGTCTTGTAAATTTGACAGTGTTAAACATGGTGTCACGTGGATGGAATGTGCATGGAAATGATATGCATATGAGGTTATGCATAGTAAAACTAGGCGTTGTAAGCTCCATATAATGGTGATTTTGGGAGAGAATGATTCAAAAGCGATACTTATGTCCCTTGCCGGTGTCCCTGCTCGGTGGAGTCGCACGGTAGAGTCGATGGTCTTTACACTCTTCGGTCTTTACGCGACCGCAGCCGCGACTGTGGTAAACTAAGCTTTTTTTTTTTTATTCGTTTAACAAAACTCAAGTTGAATTCAGCTGGACACACTTTCCTGTTTATCACAACAAATGGCCAAGCAAAGCGCACGACACTGACAAGGTACGCGACACAGTACGAGACCAAACGCGATTTCAGCACGTCTCCACACAGTAAACAAAACAAGCGTTTCCTAGCAACGACAACTGCGCTAAACACTGAGACAAGAAATAAATACACTTACGAGCTGCTTTTAACTTCTGCTGATTGACTGCTTCTCTCAAAGAGTATATCTTAACACTTTGTTTTGCTGGCGCTTGAACACACTTTCCTGTTTATCACAACAAATGGCCAAGCAAAGCGCACGACACTGACAAGGTACGCGACACAGTACGAGACCAAACGCGATTTCTGCACGTCTCCACACAGAATGGATGAAATCTACGGAGAGTTTTATAAATGAGACCCCTGGTGAGCAGTGACTTGGTGGATGCGAGCATGGCATTAGCTAGTGGGGTAAAGGGTTGGAATGATTCCTGGGACCCATGATGATTCCAGTGGGACTTAAGAATGGTATAATTAAATGTGCACTTTTTTATTTTGCAGCCTAGTCTGGCAGTCTTGCAAAAGTTTGCAGAAGTATTCAGTGCAGATGCAACTGTAGAAATAATCGATTTCTCAGTCAGCCATTATTAATTTATTCCGTGAGCAAAAGCACTCAATAACACGTACGTATTACCTAGATAAAATGTGTGAAGTGATCTCAACATGTCTGCCCTCATGAGGTGACTCCATGTAAAACAACTTATATTACAAGCATCTTCAGCTCGAGGGTACATGAAACATTTCTTTTTCAACTTCTTAATGAGACTTGTAATTCTATTCTATTCTATTCTATTCTATTCTATTCTAATGTTTTCTTTCTGTGATGATTTTACATTTCTAATGTCCTCACACTTCCCTGGGGATCCTTGCACAAAACACTTCTCTGTCTATCAAATTAATACAGTGGTTTTGTTCAGAGTTTGCTCATATTCATTGAATGGATTATCTGAAATTGAACTGAGAGGCTTATAATTCTATTCTATTTTATTATAACCTTTTTATATTTAACTGTTTTCTATTCTGCTCTATTCTAATCAATCAATCTATTCTGTTCTGTTCTGTTCTACAAAAATAAAAGGTTCTAAAGGGTTCTTGCAGTGATGCCAGAATAATTTTGGGTTCTTCAAATAATTTTCAATGAAAAAAAAAAAATGTTCTCAGTGTGAAGAACATTTTAATAATCTAAAGAATATTTTTACTCTATAAATACATTTTGTGCAATATAAAGTGTTCATGGATGTACTAATGGAACCATGGATGCTAATAAATAGAATTTTCACGATTCTATTCTATTCTATTATTTTAACCTGAGTTTCGGCAGTGATTGCGGCTCGCAGTGGTTCACGCCCAGCAGAAAAGCAACGCTCGGCTCTGTGCGACACATCCGGGGCTCATTCAGGGGTGTCACTCAAGCCTGCGAAGATGGCGACGTCGGGCAGAAATACACTCCTATCGGTTAGCACAAATGTAAATAACAGCACTTCCGAAAGCCAAAACCTCGAGGAGGATGACGGACAGAATTTATGGTAGGCCTAGCCCGTTCTTTTATCCCCTGTTCAACCTCGGCTGTATGTGCAGAACGCGGCTTTAGGTGGCTCAGAGCCGCATGTGACAGTTGTTAGCCGCTAACTTGCAAATTGCCCCAGCCGGGCAGGTACACACAGGCCAGCCTGAATCAATGACCGCAGTGATGCATACTTAATAAAGCGTTGTGATTTAACAGCTAATGCCACCCTGTGTTCCTCTGCGTTCAGGTCATCGATATTGAGTGAGGTGTCGACGCGCTCCCGATCAAAATTGCCGTCAGGAAAGAATGTGGTGGTTATGGGTGGGTGTTTTTTTTCCTGTCACAAAAATTGCTGTTTCATGTCTGCTCTGTTTCAGCCTATTGATCTGCATCCGATTTTTCATTATTAATAAATAACATACAATGCTGACTGAATGTAAGAGTTTGAACGTACTCTATATGTGCACTGATGTGATTGTAAGTGTGCTGTTATTGTTATTGGCGCACGTCATTGTCTCCAGTCGTCGCCGTCAGACACCGCGCGCGCAAAACACATCTGTGGCAGTCTCGTGAATTTTACTCGGTGTTTTTATAATTGGCCATTTATTTCGCCTTAACGATTTGCATATGGTACAGACTGTCGGGTCTGGTGAATAGAGATAATCCGCACTCTCAGACAGGGGCCGTGTCCTAAAGTCTACCGTACCGCCTACTTAGACTGCATCATAGGCGTGTTCCGAGGAACAAAATGCTGCATTTGAACTATTTTACATACTGAAAAGGCTGTATATGTGCCAGTGATGCCTAGAAAGTGCTGTCTAGCCGTCTATGATGACTACAAATGCTATCTAGGTAGGCAGCTCACTAGTTTTTGAGACGCAGCCAGTGATTGGCTCATGTTTGCTGCCTCAATGGGTGCGCTTTACTCAGGGCGTCAGACATGATAAATGGCCATGCAAACTGAAAGAATATAAAAAAAAATAAATAAATAAATACTTCTATTAATATAATTTATTATTACTTTCATGGCTGTTTTTTTTTAACTGTTTTGCCCATGTATTTTTCCTTACCATATTAAGATGATATTGTTTTATTAATCAACATTCTGGAGCTGTAATTTCAGTGTGCAGACATCTCGTTTTTATTACTATAAAATATATCACACTGTGTTGTCTTTGTCAAATATATGAATTCACATTAATTCCATAAATTGTCAATTTTAACAAGAAAAATATATTAAGGCACAAATACAGTGGTGTGAAAAAGTGTTGGCCCCCTTCCTGATTTCTGACACTACAAAAAAACAATTAAAAAAAACAAAACAAAGGAAATCACTATGCATTTTGAGTTCAAGTGATAAATTTTTCACTTTCAGCAGATTTTTTTCTGTCTTCATTTTTCTGGTTAATTCTTGACCCTTTTTTTTTTTTTTTTTTAGAAATTAGAATTAGAAATTCTGAGATCTATGTTTCTCTTCCAGCTTTATATTTCTCATCAATGCGTCTTTTATACAAAACCTACATTTTTGGTAGACTATATTTTTTGGAGATTATTCATATGCTTTCACTAATTTATATGCTTTAAAGGTCCCATGGCATGAAAATGTCACTTTATGAGGTTTTTTTAACATTAATATGAGTTCCCCTAGCCTGCCTATGGTCCCCCAGTGGCTAGAAATGGCGATAGGTTTTCACACAGGGCCATGTAGTTTTGGATTTTGTTTTCCCTTAATAATAAAAACCTTCATTTAAAAGCTGCATGTTGTGTTCACTTGTGTTACCTTTTACTAGTGTTTAAAGTGTGACAAACATGCAAAAAAATAAGAAATCAGGAAGGGGGCCAACACTTTTTCACACCACTGTATATCAGACACTACAAAAAAACAATTAAAAAAAACAAAACAAAGGAAATCACTATGCATTTTGAGTTCAAGTGATAAATTTTTCACTTTCAGCAGATTTTTTTCTGTCTTCATTTTTCTTGCTTTGCCTTTGAGAAAATGAAAGCTCAGATGGCCCAATCTGGAATCTTCCCTTTATGTCGTCATACGGGGAAAGGTTACCTCCCCTTTCTCTGCTTTTCCCGCCCAGAGAATTTGGCCCGCCCATGAGAAAATGAGCTACTACCGTGCGAGGCGAGCGCAATATTTTTTTTTCCTCGAGAGACATCATGGCTTGCAAACGAGCGAAGCATGGCAGTTGCCCCGCCTCTCTCCTCCTCATTAGCATTTAAAGCTACAGACACAGAAATGGCACGTCCTAAGGAAAGCTCATTGTGGGACTGGCTCGTAGTGGCTGAAATTCTGCACCAAGGCTGAATTTCGGGAAAGAGACTTCAGATACAGTACTATGGACCACTTAGGCCTATATAAAAGCATCCAAAAAGCAGCATGTCATGGGACCTTTAAAAACACTGCCACCAATTCTCAATTTGCCTGTTTTATTAATTGCATGAAGAATTTGCGTAAAAATGGAACAGAGAAATGCAGCATGATTATATACTATGTTTATTTTTATTTACAATCATATTCAAACTAATAAAAAAATAACAATATAATCATAATTAAATATGCATTATATATGTTGTTTTCAGGATCCAAATGCATCTAAATCTCTTAGTTTTTTTTATTTTTTATTATTTGTCAGTGTGTTAATCTGACTTGTTTTACAGGTGAGGTGGGGTCTGGTAAGACCACCTTGGTGGCCAAACTACAAGGTGTAGAAGAGTACATGAAGGGCCGAGGCTTAGAGTACCTGTATTTCAATGTTCACGATGATGATATCGATGGTAAATATGAAATCGTTGTCTAGAGTTTGATACTGGCAATACATAAACCAGTTTTAGATGTATAACCTTAAATGACACTGAATTAGAGAATCTGGTTGTGATATACTATAATCAATCAATACGTTGAACGGTTTTTAACACTGCAGTATTTTGAAGCAATGTTTTAGTAGATTGGTCATGTCCTTTATTTAAATGGAAAAGTGTAGGACGTAAATAAGAAAAGATGCCATAACTGCGCACTGAGATTATTTAGTGTAATTTGCAATTTATTCATTTTAATGCATCATTAAGCATGTTTGTTTAAGTCAACTTGAAGCATAAATACGGTTACTGTTTTCAAAGTATTAGTTTTGCCAACCCAAGCAGTCAAGCGTAATTATCAGTGACGTTTGTCATGCTTAGTATAGAGGCAGCCTAATGACCAACAGTAGGTAACTCAATACAGACATGCTAAATCTAATCAAACTCTTTTTGTCAGATCATGCACGGTGTAATGCATGGGTGCTGGATGGGGACCTGTACCACAAAGGCCTGCAGAAATTCGCCGTATCAACAGAGAACCTTGAGGACTCGCTGGTTCTATTTGTGGTTGATCTGTCCCGGCCCTGGCTGGCCCTCGATTCGCTGCAGAAATGGGGCAGCGTTGTGAGGGATTTTGTGGACAAGCTCAGAGTTCCCCCTGAAACCATGAGAGAGCTGGAGCACAGATGTGAGTAGCGTCTTTGTGTGTGTGTCTGTGTGTTTAGATTGTGAGCGTGTTCGCATGCTAAGTACCCTGTAGGAATGATCTACTGTGGTGATGCATTTTGATCTGCGATGGTCCTTTATATTGCTATGCATGACAGTTCTTATACTTGCATGAATGAGTTTGCAGTTAGTACAGTAAATATCTCTGAATATAACTGTGTTTGTATGCAGTGGTGAAGCAGTTTCAGGAATACGTGGAACCAGGAAGCGACCTGGAAGCTGTGCCCCAGAGAAGGAATCCTGAGTCCGAGGAAGAGAGCATCCTGCTGCCGCTGGGAGACAATACACTTACACACAACCTGGGCCTGCCTATAGTGGTGGTCTGCACTAAGGTACACCTGCTCGAACTTCCTGGGACTTGTATTTAAAAGAGCAGCTACAATGGAGCATGCATTTACACACTACCGTTCAACAGTTTGGGGTCAATAAGATTTTTTAAAATGTTTTGAACGAAGTCATATATGAACTCATGAAGGCTGCATTTATTTGACTAAAAATACAGTAAAATATTACCTACTGTAATATAGTGAAAAATTATTACAGTTTTAAGCAGTTTTATATTTCGATATATTTTAAAATGTAATTTATTGCTCTGATGGCAAAGCTGATTTTTTTAGTAGCCATTACTCCAGTCTTCATTGTCACATGATTATTCAGAAGTCATTCTAATTCTAATCTTTTTTTTCTTTTTTTTTTATCGATGTTATAAATAGTAGTGCTGCTTAATGTTTGTGGAAAATAAAATTAATTTTTCAGAATTCTTTGAATAGAAAATTTGAAAAAGCAACATTTGTTTGAAATACAGATCTTTATAAATGATAAATTGCATTAAACGGTAAACGTTATAAACTTTTTACTGTCATTTCAAATCAATTTAATGCTTGCTTGCTGAAAAAAAGGATTAATTTTGTAGGGGAAAAAAACTTAATGACTCCAACATTTTGAACGGTTCTGTATTTATATTAGCATAACAGTTTAAGTCAAACGTTAACATCTGATCACCATCTTTTAACATCTTTTATACAACACAAATTTGACTGGTGAAGTAGAAATGGTGTGGAATTCTATATATTTTCTATACTTAATCTTTTGTTTTAAATTTCCAGATTTTCAAAGCAGTTTATTTCTAGATTTAAACTTGATTTTGAATCGTCTCAGACTGTTGGATCCCACATATTTCAATGAATATGATAAACTTGCCATTTCTGGTCATTGTTTACCAAGTCGGTTCTGCTTTTGCTTTCACTAAAAGGCCCAAATATATCAAGTTACAAAGCAAGGATGTAGTAGTACGTTAATGGAGTTTCCCTTTCATAATTCTCTCTTTGTGTAGTGCGATGCGATCAGCACTTTGGAGAAGGAGCACGATTATAAAGACGAGCACTTAGACTTCATCCAGTCTCACATTCGACGCTTCTGCTTGCAGTGTATCCTTACACATCAGCATGTCTAAACCAAAGCTGTAATGATGAATATAATTCACCCTGCACATTTTAGTCATCTGGATGCCAGGTTATTTTCATGTTCAGTTTTATCTTTAAATGTCAAGAGTGTAATTTTTTTGTGCATCTGAATACAGGCTACACAGGTAGATGTATTGAATCTTGTTTGCTTAAAAGTGGAATGTGTGAATATTACCTGCTGACCCGTCATAATGGCTGCTTTCCAAAAATCACCGAAGTGAAGATCTCGCATGTTCCATGCTTAAATGTAACCTCACCTTGTTCTTTTCCTTCACAAGTGACCTTTCAGATGGAGCAGCGCTACTTTACACATCCATGAAGGAGAACAAAAATCTAGACTTGTTATATAAATACCTTGTTCACAGGTTATACGGCTTTCCCTTCAACATCCCAGCTCAGGTGGTGGAGAAAGACTCTGTGTTTATGTAAGTGACATAAGGCACACTAACACATGAATTACAATCAACATGAAATGAAAATCAATTGCATATTGTTCGTAATCTTTGTAATGTGAAATAAATGCGACTTTTATTACAAGCTAATTAAATACAAATGGGTAATGTAGTAAAAATGGGTTTATTGCAATAAATGTTTCTTTAATGGTACATGTGTTCATATAATCTGTGTTTCATGTTCAGTCCATCAGGATGGGACAATGAAAAAAAGATCGCCATCCTGCATGAAAATTTCCAGACAGTAAAAGCAGAGGACAACTTTGAAGATGTAATAGTGAAACCTCCAATTAGAAAGGTAAGAGTTCACGCTTGATTCGATCTTTGCCACTGGATATACAGTTAGCTGAATTCGGCCATAATATTTCTTGCCATGAAAATAGCCACAGAAGCTGGAATGGCATTAAACACAAACAAACAAACAATATACAGTTAGCTATAGAATCTCTCTAATCTAGTGATTGCTCATTTGTGATATGTCTTTCCAGTTTGTACATGAGAAGGAAGTTCAAGCTGAAGATGACCAAGTATTTCTACTAAAGTTGCAGGTAATTACATAATATTGTATAACATAATCAACAAAAAGGATAATTTCTTGATTTTTTTCAGCAGCCATTACTCATTATTAGGCTTGAGTGTCACATGATCCTTCAGAAATCATTATAATATGCTGATTTGGTAAACATTTATTAGCTATTTATAGATTTTTCTAATTTAAATATAAAATTGATCATAAGCATCATTGGCTCGGCATAAATGTGCCGTTTTCATTTATTGCAAACTGCTCTGAAACTACGAGCTTTTAGAATGTGTGACCATGTGCACCATCGAAATGTGCAGCACACATATTTATTTAATAAAATCGTAGCCTTTTGAAGTTTAATAATAACAGGTTGTTTCCTTTTTCCTGCTTTTCTTTGCCCAAATGTAAGACCTTTTAAATTAAGATGTTTGTTATACAATTTAAGATACCTTAAATTTGCTCCTTCTAAATATATTTTATAGTTTGCGCACAAATATTTTTAGTCTCAAATGTGACTGACATGCTCTCGCTGTCAAGCCCTGTATTTGTAAGTCTAGTAACCTGAGAGGTTTTTTAATAATCCATGAAACTTGTTTGATAAACCAATCATTGCCAGAATATTTGAGAAATAATCGCTGAATTATTTCTGTTCTGTCTTTGCCCTGCTCTCAGTCTCTGTTATCTAAACAGCCTCCAGTCACTGCAGGAAGACCAGTGGTGAGTGTTTTACAAGCGTTCCATTTACATTTCAGCCCACAGCGTTACTCGGTTGAATCATGTTTTGGATAAAGACTTTTCCTGCTACAAGACATTTGCATTTACATGTGTTCATTTAACAGACACTTTTACCCAAGCCGATTTATTTGTTTTAATTTTTAACATTCAGATTTGGTCTTTTTTTTACTCGTCCTCTCATACTATTTATTTTTTTGTTTGTTATTTTATTACATTTTATAATCCTAAAACATATCTTTATGTCTGTAACAGGACCCAACAAACAGAGCTCCCACCGGCTCACCAAGGACGACCAACCGTTCGGCAGCGGCTAACGTGGCAAATGTCATGCCCATGCAATCAGGTACCAAGAAGATTGATCCCAACATGAAAGGTGTGTAAGAGTGTGCGATATTTAGGATGCATGCCTCCGATTCCTCTCCATCTTTCTCGGTCTCTGCATTCCGTCCTGTAGTTTCTCTCCTTGGCTGCATTTTTCCAACTATTGGGAGCAACAGCTTTTGGAGTCATTTTGTTATTCATCCAGTCTCTGTATCTGGTTTCATGATTTTCACCGCCGTCTTCTTGGGAAGAATGTGACTTTCAACATGAGATACCATCCTCAAAGCTTGTGTCTAGACTTATGGGTGAAAATCTTGTTTGTTTTGGGCAGCAGTGATCGTGAATACACTTTTAGTGTCTCCAGAGATTGTTTCAGGATGCAGATAAGAAGGACTTTACTCTTTTAGGTTCAAATCATAGGAAAATTGCTGCCATGTTTGGAGGAGATTAGGAGAGCTTGTTGGGATTAAAGCTTGTTTCTTTGCTGAACTTCTTTCAGACTTTCATTTCGACTTTTTCCTTTACACACGTTTTTAATTCCAGCTTAGGGCTCGGCCGATGTTACTGTTTTGTAGCAACCTGAATCTAGTTTAGGCTAGTATCTGCTAGAGTTTCAGCTTGTATGGTTGTGCTAATTATTGTAATTTCTTGTGGCAGGAGGTCAGACGAGTGAGGGTGTGCTGGCTAACTTCTTCAACAGTCTGTTGACTAAGAAAGCAGGCTCACCCGGCCCGGGAGGCCAACCTACAGGAGGAGGGAGCAACACACCAGGAACAGTCCGCAAGTCAGGTGAGGGATCCTCTGTGACAATATCACTCCTCCATTCATATCTGTGTCCACTATCATGGTGAATTTGAAGTGTTTTGACTTGGAGAGCTTGAGTTTTGTATTTCAAAACCAGAAAATGTATATAAAACCTGTTTTACATGGTATGAGGCGGCAGATGTTCTATCAGTACCACCACGCAGGAGTAAACAATTTTGTATTTTCACAACATCATTGACCAGTAAGAAGGGATTTACCCTACCATTTAAAAGTTGGGTCTGTAAGATTTTTGAAAATGTTTCTAAAAGAAATTTAATGGGATAGGTCACCCAAAAATGAAAATTCTGCCATCAATTATTCACCCTCATGTTGTTCCAAACCCGCAAGACCTTCGTTCATCTGCGGAACACAATTAAATTAAGAAATGTTTGATTACATCCAAGAGCTTTCTGACCCTCCATAGAAAGCTACACATTAACTACCACATTCAAGGCCCAGAAAGGTAGTAAAGACATCATTAATATTGTTCATGTGACATCAGTGGTTTAACCGTAATGTCATGAAACTACGAGAATACTTTTTGTGCGCAAAGAAAAAATAAAAATAAAATGTATTCAACAATTACTTCTCTTCCATGTCAGTCTCGGCTGCCATTCACAAGAGTACCACGATGCGTTATAACTTTTTCACCAGTAATTTACCAAAATTTAGAAGAATATAAAATATTACATGGAGAAGAAAATGCCATTTTATTTAGTTAATCTTATTTTTCTCTCACTGGAACTCAGAATATGGTATTCACAGTAATCACCTAATTCAAGAACACTAGCATTGAGCTGAAGCAGTAGCATTACACTGGCATACAACATTTAACACCGCCTTAAGTGGTGACAAGATCTCAGTCTGATCACATACTGTGTAAAATGACCTTTACAACTATTGAATCTGATGAAATTCACTTTAATATATTATACAAATTGGACTCTGGCATGTTTTTGAGGCTCTCCATAATTTTTCAACATCGATATCATAAAAGCAGTAGACCATCTTCAAAACACTTCAAATCTTGTCTTGTTCATGTTGTACACATGTGAGGTCACTGAGGTTTGTCCCGTTCTCCCTTTTCGTTCGTCCTTATTTTGTCCTCATCACCCTCCTCTCCTGCACCTTTATCCTCCCATCCCAGATCTTTGACATCAGCGACGGTAAAATTAATGTATTTGATAATCTCCTCTGCATGTGCAGCTAAAACCCCCACTAATCATTCAAGCTGACATGCCGTCACCCTCATTGTTCACAGTGCATCAGATTACTGAGTAATAACCCAGTAATCTAGCACAAAACTCAACGGAGCAAATTAGCTTACACAACCTCCTTAAAGGGATAAAAATTGTCTGTACTTACTCACCCTCATGTTTTTCCAAACCTGTATGACTCGCTTTCTTCTGTGGAACACAAAAGGAGATACTTTAGAATGCCTGAAGTGTTTTTTGTCCATATAATGAAGGTCGGAGGGGTTCATTGTTGTTTTGGACCCCACTGACTTTCATTATATTGACAAAAACAGTTGAACACTCTTCAAAATATCCGACAGAAGTCATACAGGTTTAAAATGACATGAGTAAATGATAACAAAATGTTCATTTTTGAATGAACTATCCCTTTAAAATTTAAAATAGTGAAAGAATTAAAAAAAGTGTTTGGCAGTAACTACATTTGTTAACATGCCTACTAAGGGTTTCTACAGATTTAACATTCACCTTACAAGCTCTAAAACCAACAGCAAGTGCAGTGGTTTTATGGCCCACTCTCTTGTGTCCTTTCATATTATGCTTTTGCATCTTCATTTGTTTTTGAACCCATAATGCAGCTTGATTTTATGGGAGTGAATTAAAGGTAAAGTACCTCATTGGCCACAGTGACCTCTCCCAGTCATCATTTTGTGCCCTGATTTTCTTACTGTGTGACCATGTTAACATGTATGAGTGTATTTTTTTGACCCTTTTTTTCTTCTGTACTCTGGTATGAATGAGTGAGCAACTACATTCGTGTGCACTTTGCTCATCAGTCATGATATTTAACCCCTTTAAACTGTCTTTCATCATGTGTGTTAGCCAGGGGATGTTGGCCACGCTAAGGTGTGTGTTCAGGAGACTGTCCCTCACTTGCATCCTTTTACTTTAACCACTGCTGCATCTTCCTTTTTTTTTTAAATATATATATCAGCTAAAAATGTCTTTTAGCACTTTTACACACCTATGCATGTATAACTTTGGCCTGTGTTATATGTCACTGTCTTTTTCGTTTCGGGCCCCCATCTTGCTCCTCTGTGATTAACACTGTCTGTCTCGTGCTGAGTTTTAAATTGCACAGTTTAAGGCCGCCTAATAATCACTGCATGAAGCTTCATTACATCCATAGGGTATCTTAAATTACCTATTTCTAATTTTGATTTTCTAGTTATGAAGAAAATTTTCCCCCGCCCCACCCACATTTTCTGTTATAAATACTACATTCAGTGTGTCTAATTGAAAAGTAAATGACATGCACTTACACTACCATTCAAACGTTTGTGGTCAGTAAGATTTTTTTTTTTTTTTTTTAGTGCTGTCAAACAATTAATCGCGATTAATCGCATCCAAAATAAAAGTTTTTGTTTACATAATATATGTATGTGTACTGTGTTTATTTATTATGTATATATAAATACACACACATTCAGTATATATTTTGAAAATGTTTACATGTGTATACATTTATATATTTGTGTTATTGTATTATATATACATATATTTAATATATAAACATAACATTCTTCTTAAATATATACATGCATGTGTTTGTATTTATATATACATTATAAATATACACAGTACACACTCATATATTATGTAAACAAAACCTTTATTTTGGATGCAATTAATCGTTTGACAGCACTCATTTTTTTTACATTTTAAAAAAATAGTCTCTTATGCCCACCAAGTCTGCATTTATTTGATCAAAAATACAGTAAAAACAGTAATATTGCGAAATATTATTACAATTTAAAGTAACTGTTTTCTATTTTAATATATTTAAAAATGTAATTTATTCCTCTGATGACAGCTGAATTTTCAGCATCAGTCTTTAGTGTCATATGATTCTTTTGAAAACATGTTAATATGCTGATTTGGTGCTCAAGAAACATTTCTTATTAATATTGATGCTGAAAACAATTATGCTGCTTGCATTTGTGGAAATGGTGATACATGGTTTTTAGGATTCTTTCATTTTTCTAAATCTTTTGTTATAAATGTCTGTATTGCCACTTATGTTCAATTTAATGCATCCTTGGTGAAATAATAATAATAAAAATCTTACTGACTCCACACTTTTGAACAGTATTTGCTTAAGCAACTAGTTTTACCCCAGGTGAAGTTTATCTCTAGGTGAGGTCACACTAGGCTTTGTGTATATGAAATTACTTCTGACCCCACAACACTGCAGAATATGCAGCAAGTTTGTGTTCAGTCTGTGACATTTAGATGTTCTGTTGGTCAAATATCTTCAGTTGATTGATTCAGAGATCATCATAGATTGGTTCAGAAGGTTACAAAGACTAGTGTGACTGCACCTCTTCTAAGTTGCACTATATTGGAGCAGGAAACGGCTGGTGAATGCATGAATTGATAAAAAAAAAAAAATATATATATATATATATAATATATATATATATATATTTATATATTTATATATATGAAATGCAATGTAATTTGCTTTGGATAAAAGTGTCTGCCTAATATTTAAACATAGATGTCAATAATTCAATGATGGGTTTGTTTAGTGCCTGCACTGTAAAGGCAAAGAATCATGTCAAAAACCAAGGCAAACTAATTTAGATTACAATCCACAATCACTGCAGGGCTAATTTTTAGCACATAATTAGTGGAATTAAGACATAATAAGCCTTTAAACAGTGATAACATTCCCATCAGATCAAAGCCTTTTGTTTGGCTTAAATTTCCGAATTTACATTGTCTTAGCATTGTGAATTGTACCTTTTGAAGCATTAAATACGCAGATGGTCAGTTAGTAAAGTTTTTACTGCATGCTTAATGTTATTGTGTTGGCTGGATTTTCCTTGTTTTTAAAAAAAAAGCAGCTTTCAACCTGTGAGTCTGTGTGAAGGTTCATTGACAGTCTTTCATCTCCATTCATTCCATCGCTATGTATTTACTTTTCTCTTTCAAGCTCAAAAAGTTCTTATTTCGGATCTTTCTGCTTAACATTGATATAGGAAAAGCAAAGGCTCTTTCTTACTTGGGCTTCCCACTTGCTCTTGAGCTAAATGGTTCACTCACAGACTCACAAACACTGACATGCTATAAGGTTTTAAGTGTATTGTCATCCCTTTTCACTGATGTAGGAATATTCTGGGTTTAAAACAAGTGAATCCCAATCGACACAATGTTTACTACCACAAAAATGTATTTTTCGACTTGTCCCTTCTTTTCTTTTAAAAAAGCTAAAATCTGGGTTACATTATGGCACTTGCAATAGAAGTGAATTGGGCCACATAATGTGAACAATATGCATGTTAATATAAAATCATGTACTGTGAAATCTCTTACTTAAAATTTATGTGTAAAGTTATATTCAGTTTTACAACGGCAACATAACGCGCGAAATCCTAAAACAACCGCAAAAATGATTTGAACAGCTTTAGATTTTAACAGAAAAATGAAAGTGCTTTTATAGGTTTTATTTCTGACTTAAAAATTTCCCAAGAACTGGTCCCATTTTCCTCCTTTCACCCATAACCCTATTTTTTATTTATTTATTTATTTATTTATTTTTTTGTCAAAATTATTTTTTTGGTAACTAACATTATGCCACAAATCCTGTCGATAAAGCTTAACTTGTATTGAACCCAAAATATTATTTTAAAGCTTTGGTTAATACTGCTTTCAAATAACGTGATGTGAATTTTGGCCAGCGTATAATTCAGTTTGATCTTATCTTGTTCATTCTCAGGCTCCAAGTTGGGGTTGACCGATGTCCAGGCTGAGCTGGACCGGATCGCCAACAAATCTGACCTGGACTCCTCAGCCCCTAACGCCACCACACCCCCTGCCGAAAACGACGAATCCTGAATGAGAGGCGGGGATTATTCACCGGCAAGCTCCTCCCCCTTGACACTGCTCTCTCCACCCCCCAAACCTGCCTCCCTTCTGCCACCTCTCCTCCCTTCCTCTCCCTCACTCTTCCTCTTGATCTTGTTCAGAAGGAGGATTTATTCTTGTTTATTCCAGTGACTTGAAGCTGCATGTCGGGCAAATGGCGATTGCTATGTCTGTCTCCACACACACGCACACATGTACAGCGGACGGGTCCATAAAAAAACCATAGAGACAGGGTTGTGGTAGAAGGACACTAGATCAGCGTTGGACTCTAAAAGAGAGGATTAGAGAGGAAATGGGGATGTAGGGAGAAGTCCGAATTAGAAAGTGAAAGGGGTTTGTGAACTTAAGTGTATCTGTATGCAAGTTAGATTTTTCCTTGGCTTTCGGTAGTGAATTATCTTATATGAAGGATCCTGTTCGACTAAAGTAAAAGTCACTCGGCTTCTGATAAACAAACGCACATTTTTACTGATCTAAACGTCTTACTAAGCCTCATCTGAGCAAAAAAATGAAATAAAAATAAAGGGAAACATCTAATTTCAGTCAGAGAGCGATTCGGTCAAACGATTCATTGGATGTGGTCACCTTGTGTTGGTGTTTGTTAAATGGCTATCTTTAGCACTATCAATACCTGGCCTATTCTTAAGTGTATCGATCACAGGACCAGAACAAATATACTGACATGATTTCAATGCTTTGTAATATCCATAACCCCTTTTTTGCTGCTGTTAAACTGTCAACAGAGTCTCCAAGTCAGATTGATGTGATCTGTTGCGTACAATTAAAAGTATCTAAATATTGCACTATTACACAATAGTAGGCAATGACACTGAAAATGATCTCTTACAATGCTGACTGTAGCAAAGTAGTGCATTTAACTGGAGAGCGAGAGAGTTTTTAGCTTAGACATGGTTTATGAAGTCGTCTGTGTAACTGCTGATCAAGACTATTGATGGGACTGACAACTATGTCCGGTGTAAAAAAAAAATAGTTTGTTTGTTTTCTATGTTCAAAGGAGCTTGAAAATTGGATGTTTCTGTGTGTGTGTTCTCATCTTTCAACTACAGCCGGTTATGGCACTGTTTATTAATGGATGCACTAGAGATCATGCAAACACTATCAGTATTATGGTCTTTTCATTGGTGTGTGTGTGTGTGTGTGTGTGTGTGTGTGTCTTGAGTGTGTGTGTGTAAGTTTGAGCAAAATAAGTAAATTCAGCAGGCGATTTGTCTGTTTAGAGACTTTAACGGCTAGAAATTAGTACCGCGATGGGAAGGGAGGGGGGAGAGGCAGAGGTGGCAGGGCAGGTGAGATCTCAGATCACCCTCACCTGCATGTACAGTCATCAACCGAACTTCTTACGAGAGGGAGGGGGAAATAAACATACGCTAATATGGTCCTGTAATTTCACAAGATGTAGTGATGTTTCTCTGGATCAGGTCTGTAATCATTCTATTAAAGTTGTATTTATTGGGAATGGCTGCTGTCTGTGAGGTTCTTTTGTGTGGGTGGAGAGCATTACGACACAGGAAGTCTGTGGTCTCAGCAAAAACCGATCTTCTTTGGAACAGAAGTTCCAAACAGTTCAACATTTTACAAACTATATTTGTTTTTTTTATTTATCAACATTCATTTTTCTTTCATAAAGCATTAGATAAACAAGTTTGGCCACCAAACCAATTAACATTACAAAAGTGCACAGGAAAATATTTGTCGTAATAATACATTTTGTAAACAAATGATTAACAAAACAATGTTGACACTATTATAAGAGTAAATTGAAAATAAAGACCATTTGTTAGAATGTATGCACCAGTAAATTATTGGCAGGGTATTATAATATTAAATATTATATAGTAATTATAGTATTAAAACCATCTGGCTGCAATAAGTCATGTGTGCAATAAGTGATATTCTATTCTATGTAAATTTACTAAAACAACCATACCCTTTATCAATTCCCCATCCATGCTCTCCTGTGTTGAGGGCAGTTAGACTATAAATATCAAGACAATGTTTTTATATTGGTGGATCTGGAACAGAAAAACATTATTTCAGATAATCAGTTCAGGATTCAAAAGCACCTGAAAATGTTTTGCAGATCCAGCTATGTGCAGTTTATCTAAATATGTTAAAATACACACTGAAAACACGCTCAGCTCCTAACTTACCCTCAGGTTGTGAGCGGCGAGCGGCAACAAATGAAAGTATCACACTTACAACTGAGAGATATGAGGCCAGAAGACCACACACCTGAAAAACAAACACCAGAAAAGCTTACAATATTATCAGTGACAATTACAAGCAGTCATGAAAATGAAATGCTGCAAAAATGAGAACACCACCTCAAAACCAGTCTTTGACGTACATTTTAGTTTCATTTCCTTTGTAATAAACTAGGCTAAGCTGATAAACATTTACTGTGAAGAAGCCCTTACTGAGGCGGCAACCAGAATGGGGGTGTCATAAGACTTCACAGCAGCTACAATGGAACCAGTGGAGATGAAGATGAATCCCAGTGTATCAAGCACAAACTCCTTGAAGAACAAACAGAATGACAGAATAATCATATACACTTATACTAAATCATGATTATATTGTGGGTAGCAGTTGACGTGTGGTAACAAATATGGGAAAGTGACATGTCTGGTTGTTTGACACGCTATACTCCATATAAATAATTTTAAACAACTTTTTGACAATTATCACGTATAATTATCATACATGCAGGTTTTACCTGACGTTAATTGACACTACACAGAATATTTGAAGTTTGCCACACCATACTACCTTAGTGTTTACCAATTTACCATTTTTCCTTTATATATGCATGCACTGAACTAAAACCTTGATTTCACTGGATGGAAAATACAGCTGGTAACTAGTTTTGGACAGACTTGCTGGTCAACTAGCTACCTTGTTCCAATAACAACTTAACATCTTTGCTTGTTTGTTGGAACGTGTCTAAAAATCACACAAGCTTAATCTGGGTTTGATACATCAAAAGGTCGTTATCCGTCAACGACTGATCATTTCCTTGTGAGCTTTTGTAAGAACAGTGATCTGAAATGGAGTAGCAATTATAATATGTAACAATACTCACGGCTATCGTCCAGTTTACAAATGATGCCCTTTTCGGAACCCCAAATACAGTCAGGAATAGAAAAACGGCGACCGTGATGGAGTAACCGAGCGTGACCCCTTCAAAAAAACCGTAAGCGTAGAAACTGGTGTACCACGTGGAACGAACGCAAGCGAACGCTACAAGAAGAATCACCTGCACACACAAACACACAATGCTGTTTCTGTTCTAGTATTATAGTAACTGTTACGATTCACAATGTCGAATGATAGGATATTATAATTGACAAAACGCGGAAAGGCGTGTTCTGTAGTCTGATATTGTCATGTGACATAGGTGTAGATAAGAAACACTTACGAGCTGAGCGACCTTCAGAATTCCTTGTTTTGATAGTAAGTATTCCAGAAATAAAATCCCCATCATTGTTCAGTGGAGGATGTATAACAATATACGGCAAACGACGCGACGTCACACGAGCGCTCAACACAGCGCGCGCGTCTAGTATGATGTGGTCAGGAAACTGCATCTGACAAGATTTACTGCCGTTGCTCAATTTCACATCATGATTTACAAGTCATACTGTATCTTAATACCTGAGAGCATGAATCACAATTCGTTGGAACACATTATGACATAATAGATGATAAAGTCCGCATATATCTAATCACATTCCCGTATTGACAAGCACATCTTTTATTTTGTGTGGGAGATGGAGTGCGCATGGTTGCACTTTTGTGAACTTCCCCTTCTAGTTTGTATAATTATGCAATTTACAGTCTATATGGGCTACCAAATGTGAGACACTTAATTGTGTGCAACCATATATGAGTTTGGCATTTATAAACATAAGAAGTAGCCTAAATCAGATCTGCTTTCAAAGGACACAATAATGACAGCTTTAATTTGACAGTTGCACTTAGCCTATCCTTTGTGAAATACAACAAGGCTTTCATAATAAGCCAGTCAGGTAAGTCCAAACATCATGAGGATTTTCAACATAATTTTAGACTATCAAACATGAACCAACATTAAAAGGCACATTCAAAGCACATGTGAAACATTGTATGTCTATTCATTCACAGCCAGTCAATGAGCCTTATGATAAAACTCCATTCAATAAAGCTAAAGTAAGTTTTGCATGTCCCTATAAAATATATCAAAATATATTTTGTGCATTAGAGAGATATGTGTGGAATGTTTGCAAATACATACAGAGCAAAACGTAGGCTACATTTCTTTATTTTTAATATAAAAGACAATCATCAGTATTAAATATTTTTTTCAAGATTAGTTCATACCTGAACAATTAGGATGAGTCATATTTTTAACATTCGATTAAAAACTACAATCCAGCACATTCATCTCCTCTGTGCCAGGATTTGTAACTGAAGAACGCACTACCAGCGTAACTCAGATATACTAGGAATGCAAAAAAATAGAAAAGAGAAAAAGAGGCAAGCGTTAAAAATATTTGATGCAAGTAAATGAAAAAAAAAAGTATTTTACTTGGAAATTAAATTTCACTTTGGAAAATGTAACTACATATTCTGGGCAGGGGAGAGCAATTATAATAATCATCACTTGACCACAAATATATATTCTCCTCAAAGTTATGTTGTTTACAGCCTTGCGCACAATTATGTACTTCAAACTGATTATTACCGTCGATGCCGCCCAACAGTTGAAATCATGATGACCTCTGACCCCTTATTCACCAACGTTGCCTCAACAATAGCAGCCGACTTGTACAGTAAAGCAGTTAAAAATGAGAACCTAGGATTAGAACCTAGGAGAACCTAGGATTTCAGAGACGGAACTACAATTAGGCTGTTTAAGACACTTAACACAAAAATATGTTCCTTAACATTTAGCCACGTTGTTTTTAAAAGTCACTAAGGTAATTTGGGTAAGTTTAGACCTGTTTTTCTAAATCAAAATGCAGATCTATTTGTGCATGCCATCATTGTATCCTTTTTCTACAGCTTTGTAGAGACTCTATAACTGTACAGAAGTGCACCTACCACTGTAGTCCAGGGAACTTGTCGGATTTGTCCATTGGCCAGTTTGATAATGAGGAGGAAGAGGGTGAGAAGCCAATAGAAGACAGTCACAAACATCACCCATCCAAATGGGGAAAATCTGAAATATTCTGTGCTTGCAATCAGTGCCCATACCAGCAGGCCCAAAATACTGCCTACTGTTGCTTTTAAATATTTAATCCTCTGGAAAACCTAAATAGAAATGTTGGAGGGCAGTGGTTCTCAGTGGTGCTCTTTAACCCCTCACTGTCCACAACTATTTTCAAAGACTCCATGATTTTTCCATTCATTTGTGATTTACTGGAGAATGATTAAGGGTACATTTTTAAGGGTGAGGGTAATTTTTTTTACTCAAAATTTCTACGGAAAAATATTTCAGAAATTGACAACGACAAAAATGTATATTCATAATAAAAATGGCCACGGAGCTATAAGATTTTCTCAATTTAGATGTCTTTTTGCACTTTTTCAATTACAATTCAAGAATTTTCTAGACAGTAAGAATCCTTTTCCTTGAAGAAAAATAAACAGTTGTTGAGAGAATATTAAGTAGCTTATTTAATGCTTGTTTTGTCCCCCTGTTTGAGAACCACTGTTGTAGGACATGTTCATTCACATATTTTACCATCCCTGTCCATATAGAAGTTACATTTTTCAGTTTAGTTTTTAAAAATGTAATTCTGATTTATAGCCTATAATATAAAAGACAATAAAAAATAAAATAAATAAACCTTAACGGAATGTTACGTCATTAAAATATCAATTTGTAGTATCTTTCACATATCTGAAAAAAGGTGTATTGGAGACATATTTTGATGGGCTGTGGCAAACTTGTACTGAATTGAAACTATAAGAGCAGAGTCCTCTACTTGTTTAAAACTGGGTTATTGGGTCGTTTGGATTAAACCAGCCATAGCTCTATTACAATCTCACTTCCTCTGCTACTCAGTGGCCTTTTTTTGCCTTCGCTGAAACAGAAAGAGGAACATTCACACCACAATCACCCGCACCAAAAATGAGTTTCACTGCCAGGTTCAAGTTAGAATCAACAAAAAAGGGGGAAATCGGTTCTTGCAGTTACACAGAAATGAATGAGAGGTGTAGGTTAGGCTTTTCATTAATGATTCTGTAGTGTACACAAATAACACGAACTCTCCATACAAGTTTGTGATGGGGACTTTGCAGCTCACATAATGAGGGCTATACATACAAATTAGGTGTCCATATCTGTAAAAACAAGATTACAATGCCTTAATATGCATGCAGTGTAGACTAGAAGCCCTCCAGTCATTACTACTTCCTCCTGAATGCATTGGCGTTTTTACAGTTGCTACAGCTGCGTATCTTGCAAAACAGAACATTTGCCTTTTAATGACAAAGAGAACGAGTTAGAAAAATATGCGATAAACCATAATCAACATGCAACCCATTGTTGACAATTAACCTGATTCGTTGATTTAAAGGTGAAT